CAATGAATGAGCGTTTCCTGCCCCCGACATTCTTAGCAGCACACACAGCATGACTCTCCTGCCCTTGGTTTGGGCCATTCTTCTAAACATGCAATGATGTCTCAGCATTGTTCCAAATATGTACTTCACTGGTGACACATTGTGTAGGGTGCCATTGTGTTTATTTTTTGCTGTCTACAAATCTCCTTTAGTGAGATGGCTGTTCAGGTCATCCGCCCAGTTTTAAGAGTCAGGTTGTGCCTGGGCAGTGGTGGCGCACGCCTTTAATCCCAGCACTTGGGAGGCAGAGCCAGGCAGATCTCTGCAAGTTCGAGGCCAGCCTGGTCCTATAGACCAGGACAGGCTCCAAAGCTACACAGAGAAACTCTGTCTCCAACTCCCCACCCCCCAAAAAACCCCTCAGGTTGTGTATTTTCTTCTTGTTGAATTTTAAGAGTTAATTATCTATTTTGGATAGACAATCCTTTGCCCAGTAAGTTTTTTTTTTATAGATATTTCCTCCAAGCCTGTGCCTTTTTTCTCCACTGACATTCACCTGACAACTTGACAGTGCCTTTCCCAGAAAATCTCTCTTTCTCTGTCTCTGTCTCTCTCTGTCTCTGTCTGTCTCTGTCTCTCTCTGTCTCTCTGTCTCTCTCTCTCTAAGATAGGCTCACCATTTAGCCCAGCTGGTTTTGAACTTACCTACTTATCACAGACTGGCCTCAAACTCCGCTCCTCTTGCCTCGGCCTCTTAAATACTGGGATTACAGTGCACATTACAAAACACAGCAAGCTTTAACTCTAAATCTAGCTTAGCAATTCTTTGGTGGTGTACCTAACTGCCCAGATGCACACATCTGGGCGGATCAGAGGGCAGAGAGAGTAGAATGCTGCCCCACTGGCTTTCTGCTTCCCCCATTCTCTTCGGTCTGAGACGCCATCCTACGGGATGATGCCATCCACAGGCACGGTGGATCTCCCTGCTTTAGTTAAACCTCTTTGGAAACCCTCTCAAAGACATGCCCAGAAGGATGTCTGCTGCGTGACTCTTAAAGTCACTGTTGTACCAAAGATGATGTGTATTTTTTGGGATATCTTCTGTGGTTTTATGCTCTCCTTTATAGTTTTATGTCTCACTTATTATGGGCCTGAATCTCACGCAGCTTTCTAGATGTGGAGAACCAGTCTTCAGCACCACTTGTTGAGAAGAACATCTTTGTACCAATGATTCCCTTTGCTTCTTTACCAAAGTCCTACTGGGCTTCTGATTTTTTTCAGTAAACAAAGACAGTAAATAATATCACATTGGTTCCTGTGATGGCTAATATTGTCAACTCAATGGGGTCTGGAGTCAGTTCAAGGACACCTTTGGATTCAAGCCTCTCTGGAAATTCCCAAGGCATGCCCAGAGGTGCAGCTCCTCAGTAATTCTAAATCTTGCCAGGCTGACAATGAAGGTTAATCATTATCAATCTCAGTGGTAGCTCGTTTATAACAACTGTCACCTAAGGACATCAAGAGTTATTATTTTCGCTTTTCTTTAATTTTTTAGACAAGGCCTCATGCAGCCGAGGCTGGCCTTGAACTTGCTACGTAGCTGAAGATGACCTTGAGCTTCTGGTCATCCTACCTTTACCACCACCCTTGTTTACGCAGTCCTGGGGACTGAGTGTTAGGTCAGCCGTCCATCAGGTGAGCTACGTCCCAGCCACCAGTTCCTTTCTCCTAGCACAAGCAAAATTTCTATTCAGATAAGAAGAACTGTGTTTTGGAAACACTGGAACCTTGGACCTTACTCCAAGGTCCACAGAGAAGCACTCACAGAGGACACCTCCCAACCCAAAGACCCAAACGCCTCCCTTCCTTTGTGCACCTTCCCAGAGTGGCCACCAGAGGGCTCTCTGACCTTAAGAACCATCCTCCCATCAAACTACCTGGGCCCACAGGACTTCAGTGCAAAAGGACAGTCCTGTCACTGCAGGACACAGAGAGTTAGTTAGCAGGCTGCCACGGTGTTGGGGCACTGACCTGGTGCTGATTGATAGCCTGGGCTGCCTCCTGAGATGCAGGACTGCCCTCTGGGACCCAGCTCGACAAAGACAAGTCTAGCATTTTCTCAAATTCTCCAATAAGCCTCCAAGGTCCAGCAAAGGAAACTGCTTGGTGAGATTAATGTGAAACTAAAAAAACATAACAAAGGCAACCTACCTGTCTGGGACACCACTCTCTATAGGTTACACTGAGTCCCCAACCAATGCAGGGACAGGCTTACCCCTAGGGCATACGAGGAGGAGAGGAAGCAGGTCTCACTTAGCCAATGTTCTCAGCAGCTTAGGAGTTAGGCAAGGGGCCAAGTGCAGAGACCCTCGTTATCCATGGGACATTGGTTCTAGGGCCCACCAAGGATACCAAACTCAGGAAGCTTCAGCCCCCTGTATAAAACAGTGTCCTGTTTGCCTGTAGCCTACACAGGTCTTCCTACATACTGTACACCCTCTCTAGATTGTTTCTCATATCTAAGATCATGTGGATGAGAGGTGCGGGGACCACGAAATCTGCACATGCTCAATATTAAGTGTAGCTTCTCCTACTGTCTCCTATGTTGAGTTGGTTGAATCTGCAGCTGAGGTACCCACAGACCATGAAGGGTTGATGGAGCCACATCTCCCTAGCACAGGTTAGTATAAGGCTAACCAGATAACAGCACATAGCTGAAGAAGGAGCCATAAATTCCCACCAAACTAGCCAGGGGAGATTCCAGAGACAAGCAGCCATCTGGTCTGTGTGTTAAGCATAGATGAGGGCAGCCAGCTCGGTCAGAAGCAAAGAGTGTGATGGCCCAGGGGCTGAGAATATGGACAGCAGGGTCGCTCTCACAGATGACAATGGGGGACTAGTGAGGGGAATGTGAATAGAGTAGGCTGGGGTCAGAGCACAGTGTGGGTAGCCTAGGTAGCCAGCAGGTCTAGGGGTGTAGGGAGGCTTCTCTGTGCACACTGGAGGAGGGCAGATGAGAAGGGATGAGAGCAGGAGGCAGGAGCCATGGATCTCGGGGGCAAAGACATGAGGAGAGAGACCTGGCTAGTTAGAAGATACGAATCTTGAGTAAGTTTTTAAAACTTCTTAATGTTTCTGTTTGCAAAGGACATATGACCAGAAGTTTCTTTTACTGGCTCTGAGTGTTAAATACGATGCTCTATAGAAAACTGTTGACTGCCCAAAAAAGGCAGCCTCTGTGTAGTCCCCACAGCCACACACCCTTGTGCCAAGGTCAAGGGCAGACTGTTATGGGGAGTGAGGAGATTATAAAATGCTGGATCTGGGGAAATGGCTCAGTGGGTAAGAATGCTTGCTGAACAAATGTAAGGATCTGAGTTCAGATCCCCAGAACCCACATAAAAACCTGAGGTAGCCACCTACATGCTTTTAACCCCAGCGTCATAGAGGCAGAGACCAGAGGGTCCCTGGGTCTGGCTGGCTGCCAGCCTTGCTCCAGGTTCAGTGAGAAATCCTATCTCCAGGGAGTCAGGAGGATGCCCAACATCCAGGTGTTCATACTTGCGCGCGCACACACACACACACACACACACACACACACACACACACACACACACCACATACACAATAAACAAAGAAAGAAACATTTAAGATCAAGGCAATGTTCTACATTTTTATTGAGATGGTCTCAACTCATCAAGTTGTACACTGAAAAACAGGCAAATTTTTCTAAATGTAGATTAGAACCCATTTTTTTTTTTTAATTTTTAGAAAGGTGAGGGAAACTAATGGCCGTGGTCTAGGAAAGTGCACCATTTGAGGTTCCCCGTCTCCAAGCACATCTACAAAAGGGGAGCTGTCTACCCAGAAAACCAGGGTCAGCGCACTGTCACACACATGTGACTCTATCAGAGCACCTGGCTTACCTTGAGGGGCCTGGAGATCTGGGAGTGCAGATTCTGGCCATTAGACATGAATGACATCTGAATGACATCTTGATGTGGAGCATGGAAACAAGTGCTTTGACTTCCTTCAACTAATATTTCCAAATGCATTTTCTTTTTTTTTTTTTTTTTTTGGTTTTTCGAGACAGGGTTTCTCTGTGTAGCTTTGCGCCTTTCCTGGAACTCACTTGGTAGTCCAGGCTGGCCTCGAACTCACAGAGATCCGCCTGGCTCTGCCTCCCGAGTGCTGGGATTAAAGGCGTGCGCCACCACCGCCCGGCCCAAATGCATTTTCTAAACCTTTCATCTGTTCGTGATAATCCCTTTACCCTCCCAATACTCACTCACAATCCCCCGCCCCCAGGCTGTAAGCAAAGAGAAGGGGCGGGTACCTTGAGAAGTGCTTGAATTCTGGTACCAAAACCCACTGTTACGGTTCCTTGTGCCAGCTGGTGGCCTGTAAAGACTGAGTCTTGGGGACTTTGGGTTGACTCAGTATATGTGCACACACAGAGCCATGCGCCAGACAAGCACCTCAGTGATGGAGTACACATGCAACGGGGAATTAGTAGCCACCCCAGTTAGTGTAAGCAAACTCTTCGTGTGTATAGATATGTGCATGCATAAAAACAGATCTCAAAGAACTGGCTTAGTTATGGCTGACAGGGTGGGCTGGCCTCGGTCCAGCGTGGAAGCTCAGAAGCTGGCACTGTGGTCTAGAGACAGAATTCCTTCTCAGGGAAGCCACAGTTCAAGAACTTTCAGACAGATGAAGCTACCCACATTAGCAAGGGCAATCTTCACTTAGTCAACTGCTCTAAATGTTAACACTTGCAAACACCTCGGCTCCTATTGGACTGAAAACCAAGTTGACGCCTAAAACTACCCACTGAAATATGCAAAGGGCATTGGAAATGCTTCCCCGGGATTTCAGGGGAATGCTGAGGGGGTTTAAGGAAGCAGGACTGTTTAACAGAATAAAATCCCTAGTCCCTTTCTCCCTTCAACAGACGGTCCTACCCTGAGGGATACTTTTTTTTTTTCAAGCATGAAAACAAAGACACAGATTACAATCTCTCAAAAATAAAAAATAAAATTCATTTATTGAAGTGGAAATTTAACACAAGATCCATGTGCTCAACCCAACTGAGACCTAGATGCTCTGGCACGCCCCCCATGCGTACGCTTACCCTACTGAAATCACACACAAGTAGGCACACAACACACAGTGCTATCTGGCCATTAAGACTCTCTCTGTATGGCAATTCTCTTGTTCCTTGATTCGCACATCCACTGGCAGTTTACAATACAGACACAGGATTTTATTATTCATTTAAAAAAAAAGAGAGAGAGAGAAAGAAAACAGCTTCTTCAACATCACCTTGATTTAAACCAAAGAACAGGCGAACACCAGGCACCTTCCAGCCTCATTTTTCACTTTCTTTTTTCTGATAACTGCCTATAATGTCTCTGACCAGGGAATGACTCAGGCTACATGGAAAAGGAAAAACCGACCAGGCGGAAGCTGGCGCGACCAGCGGAACTAAAGTGCCTTCAAGTACTGACCACAGTTTCAAAGTCGAGCCAGACGGCTTGCTCTCCCTTAATGGTCTCTGATTTGCAATGTGCTTTAGAAAATGAAATTCTAAAGTCGACTTGGCGCCACCCTCCTGACGGCCATGTCCCACCACTCTGTCTGGTTCCCGTATCAGGTCTCAGCAAGTCTCAGTGTCCCAACGGGAGTGGTGGCTGGGGCTGGCCAGTAGAGAAAGCAAACCCACATCCAGAGTCCTCGACCTACATAGAGGACAGAGAATGCTGTAAACATGACCAGAGCTCTGTACCTTCCTGGAAATCAGGTGAAACAGTAGTGTCCCAAGGCATGACACCGAAGACAGGGAGGAATCTGAGGATGAAAAAGTCTAAAGACAGGCTCTGGGATCTGTCTTCAGACCACTGATCACACCTGACCCATGTCTTCCAAGGGTGAACAGCAGACAGTGAGCACCTGCCCAGGTGTGGCTAGAGAGGTCAGGTGGGCGGGGCTAAGCTAACCCACACCCCTCCTGACCCGGACCGCAGCACCTTGCAAACGATGCCACTAATAAGGGCAGGGTGAGCTGCACAGGTTGGATCACACTCTCCCCGGCAAGTGCTCACATTCAAGTCTGGGATAACGGGTCTCTGAACTGCGGGTGCGGGCAAACAGCAGGCTGGCAAGGATCAGGCAGCCTGTCTGCCCTTGGGGCATCTGGATGAAGGCGTACTCTTCACAAAGCCTTGCCTGTTGGTCTGATCAAGGTTCCATTTATCTGAGTGTTTTCTCACCAGGGGCCATCTGGCTCCCAACTGAGAGCAGGAGAGACCAGGAGGGCCCTGACTCAAGGCTCCTGTGAGCCCTTAGGCTGTGTGCAGCAGAGGACCCGCTTCCTCTTCTACCGGGAACTATATGCTTAGCAGCTGCCTGGAGTCCATCTAGAAAGGCCCTGATCTTCCTGAAAGAGTCAAGCCACCAGACTGCCAGTGCCTCAGGAGCACAGCAAGAGGCCACACCAAGGAAGCTGCTGGCCTAATGCTAAAGCACTGGCCTAATGCTAAAGAAGGCACTCCACACAGTCTCAGGCCAGGGGCCCTGAAGAGACAACTGGCCTTGTGTGTTGGGTCTTGACTTCCAAAGCCACCTGGATAGGGGTGCCTCTAACAATTCTGAATACACTGTCCCTCCAACCAGGAAGCCATGCTCAGGTGGCCTCAAGGAGAGAGTCTGGCCCACAGTTGGGTTACTGGAACCCACGCCCAGAAATAGCAGGTCAGTGTCTGAACCTACTATGGTCATTTTTCAGCCTAAGACTTCAGAAAACAAGGTGTCTGTGAAGCCCAGCTGGACCTGGCCACATAAGCAAGCACCTGTGGAGACACTACTGAGTGGAAAGGGTAAAAAGCACTGCTCTCCGGGGGCTAAGGGCCAGCACGACAGCCATGCCTCCTCCTAGCATCGCTGCTTTGACCAGCTGCTGCTGTACGCCAGAGGCCACCCTTCCCATCCCTTGCCCTGGAAGTCACTCGGCAGGCTCTGGACAGAACAGCAGGAAAAGGCTTAGCTGCAAGGTTGGGCCACAGCCCTTCTAGCTTCTGTGAAACACAAAAGCAAAACCCTGTTAAATTCTTACTCCTTTCTCTAAACTGAGGTTCAAGGCAAATCCTATCTCTAGGTAAGAGCCTGGTAACCAGGGTGGAGGAGACATAAAGTACTCTGTCATGTATGTATGTATGTATGTGTGCATGCACACATATGTGCGCAGTCACACGCACAACTCAAAGATGGGGAGCTAATGACTGCCCTTTGAAAATCTTTCGTATACCAACAGGGAAGCAGTGGCAAGCCACGAACTTTCTTAGCTGCCTCAAAGGTCCACCCCGAGGTGACTGACCTAGAAGCCATGTGACTCTGGGAGGTGTGATGGGGGAGGATACAGGTCACAGTTAGTGTTTAGTGGTTCCTTGGAAGCCCAGGATACACAGGCAGCCTGGGACAAGGCGGGGCTTCTGCTCTCTCCCCAGGAACTGTAAACAATGACCCTTGTGCGTAGTGTCTACGAAGAGAAGGTCAGACCCACACCCCTGTCCTCAGCCAGCATACCACAAGTACTTCCGAATGCCCATATGGATTCAGTCTCATCAATGGAAGTCTGCGTGTGCATAGTGCATGCCCACATGGTCTGCTTAAGGTCTCTGAGCCAGCTAGGTGTGGCAGCTCATGCTAGGAATCTCAATACTTGAGGCAGAGGCAGGAGGACCAAGAGTTCAAGGTCATCCTTGACACAGCAAGTTCAAAGCCAACTTTGGTGACATGAGACCCTGTCTCAAAAAACGAAACGAAACAAAACAAAACAAACAAACAAAAAGAATGGCCCCTAGGCCACTTAGCCAAGAGGGTGGAGGGCATATACCGTGGTCCCCTGGAGGAGGTTTCTTTGTGGCAGGAGAAGCCAAGTGCAAGCCGATGAAGGAGAAGTAACCCACCATGATGCCAGGTCTGAAGTCAGATCCCCAAAACCTAAGCTTAAATAAATTATAAATACCTCCAATCTGAGCAGCATCTCATTATCTTTAAGAGCTAAAGGAATCAAGTGGGCAGTATTGTGACCTACACAGCAATGAGAGAGGAGGCGGTGTGGCCTGCGGGTTCGGAGGGCCAGAGCCTCTCGGGACTCAGCTGGGGTGGAAGAGTGAGTGAGGTACAGCATTTGGGAGCCTGGTGAGAGAGAGGCCTGGCTCTGTAAAACGGAAGAGTCTCCCCTGATTTCCTCTAGACCTGGCCCTGGAAAGGAGGACACAGCAGGAGCAGGACTCTACCTTTTAAATAAAGTGAGCTGTGCTATGGGAATAATTATGTGTGGCAGATGAGGGGGGCCGGTGCTGGGGGAGGAGGCATGATGAAGGAAAGCAGTGACTGTACCGTCACAAGTGGAGTGACCGCACCCCACCTTCCCCACAAACTCAGTCTCACCTAGCTCAGGGTACCCAAGGGTCCAATGCCAGGTGGAGGAGCGCACAGGCAGCAAGCCTGCCTTTCTGCAGAGGCTGAGCCATACCTGAGGCTGTGGGGACACTACCGGGAGACACATAAGGGTGGGGCTGGGCAGGTGCAGGGAACACACCCAGATCCTTATATGAAGGCACTGGTGAAATTGGTAGAGATGTCGACTTGGCTTGGCTGGATCAGCTCAAACAGAGACTCGTAGGTCCCCACCACGAAGCCCACGAAGCCCAGGATGCTGATGAGGGCATCCTTGATGATGGTCAGGGGGCTCAAGCCCTCCCCATAGTAGGTGGTCACCTCCAGCAGGGGCGGGATGATGAGGGCCAGGGCGCTGCTGCTCAAGGAGCCTACTAGGGAGATGACCAGGTCCAGGCGTGGGACGAGGATGGCCAGAACACCTGCAGAGAGAGGGGACATCTTTGGTCAAGAACGCCTGGGACTGTGCTCACTGGTCAGAAATTTCAGTCTGGGTCTCTATTTGGAATAGAGAGCTCGAAGGAAATCAAGGCGCTATCTAGTCCAATCTCTGGGCAATACGTGACCAGAGATGCAGAATTACTACGGTCTCCTGGCTTGTGACAGCCCCGCCACAAGTTACTATGTCATGATTGCCTGTATGTATTCTAGGCTGCCACTGAACTGGAGATCTTCCTGCCTCAGCCTCCCAAACGCTGAGATTACAGCTGTGTACTACTCACCGGCTGGTCTTCCATTGAGTCTCTCCCCAAAGGGAAGGGCGGGGGTGGAGAAGAGTGTTGTGTCTTCCTGAGAGACCACTCACTTCCCTACACTGATGGAACCACAAATATATCAGTCGTCAAGTGCCAAAGAGAAAGGACTATACATTCCCAACACTTCCTTTTCCAGAAGACACCATGAGAAAACCCATGATAATTTCATCAAGTGCTTTCATGTGTGGAGGTGGGGGAGCATGGTTCTGCCTGAAGACTGTCTTCTAGGGAAAGTCCACCATATCAACAAGCCACGTCAGTCTGGAGACTTTGAACGTGTCTTGTAAACAAAAACTGGGCTGAAGAGACAGCTGGTGACGTGCTGTGAGCCTTGCAAGGGAAGCAAATGAGAGCTGGAGGGGAACGCAGCGGACTGCTCTCACCACGGGGCGCTTCGGGAGCTGCTGGACCGGAACCCTGGACTGTGGGGTGTGAGTCTCCCTCTGCCCGTGTCAGCCTCCTAGTAATTGCCCTATGAGTCGCAGGGTGGAAACATAAGCAAGGCAGCAGTCGGGGAGTTGAGCCCAGCGAGGGCAGGAGGAATGAGGCTAGGGGTGTAGGCTCTGGACTTGGAGTGCCCAGCCTCTCAGCTCCAGCACCAGACAGTTCCTTCTTATGCTTCCCAATTACCAAACAGTGACCAAAGGGGGGATCACTCACATCAAAAACTTAAGAATGCTTAAGTGCCAAATGAATGAATGAATGAATGACTTTGGAATAAACATAACCAGGTGAGAGCCAAGAGAGATATCTCTACAATGAAACTTATAAAATAACAAAGAGCCTGACGGTGGTGGCATATGCCTTTAATCTCAGGAGGCAGAGAGAGGCGAATCTCTGTGAGTCCAAGGCAACCTGGTCTACCAGAGACAGGTCTACTTGTCTACCTCGTTCCAGGACAGCTAGGACTACACGGAGAAACCCTATGTCCAAAAACAAATATTATGATGCTACAGAGGCTGGCAAGGTGGCTCAGCAGTTAAGAGTATTTACTGTTCTTGCAAAGGACCCAAGTTCAGCTCCCAGCACCCATATCAGGCAACTCACAACTGCCTATAACTCCAGATCTAGATCTAGGAAACCCAAAGCCCCCTTCTGACCCCTGTGGGCACTACACACACACACACACACACACACACACACACACACACACACACACACACACACACACACACACATTAAAAAAGAGATCTTTTTTTTAAAAGGAGGCTGGGGACTGGAGAGGGCTCAGTGGTTAAGAGCATTGGTCACTATTCCACAGGACCTGGATTTGATTTCCAGCACCCACATGGTGTTTATAACTCCAGTTCTAGGAGATCTGATGCCCAGGCACTAGGCACACGTGTGGTAAAACATCCATACACATAAAATTAAATAAAATAAGAGGCTGAGCCGAAATCTCCCCATTTTTCTTGGATATGTAAATTGATGAAGAGGAAGAAAAGTAAAGAAAACATTAGAGACAGCAATAAAAACAGGCTGCTAATAAAATGTGCAGGTATAGTTGAAAACAGTCAAATAAAGATGGAGAGTGATCCATCAATCAACTTTGCCACAAGGATTGAATAAACAGAGAAGAAAGAAAGGAACCCACACGTGTACATCTGAGTTGGTGCTACCCTGAGAGGCCTCTTCTGCCTCCCACAAGGACTTCAAAGTCTCCGGGGAAGCCAGGAAAAGCTATGCAGCTGGCGAAGATGAAGGGGCTGCCTCCTTTTATAGGACAATGAACCAGAACAGCTCACAGGAGATGAGAGAGCAGAACATGCTCTCAGAGATCAAACCCAGGCCGGCCCTGTGAGTGTCCTTCAGTACAAAGGAGGAGAGTCAGGCACAGACTGAGCCAGAGAAAACAAAGCATTAAATGAAACCAAGAGAATCTAAGGACAGGATGATGTCTAGAGGCAGGGATTGCCACTTCCTGCAGGATAGGGTAGGATAAGCCTGTGGGGAAGCAGGTCCTATGCTTCGGGACATTTTACAGAGACTTTTTCTGGAGGATCCACACTGGGAAGGCAAGTTATTTGAATGTTCCATATCCTGTCTTGCAGAAACCCTTTAGACTCAAGAGGCAGGCCCTCAGAGCTGACGAGACAAGCCACTACGCACAAGATGCAGTCTCCTCAATGTTTAAGCTCATCAGTCCTTGGAGGACACACACCTCGGGAGACGCTGAAGGTAAGAGCAAAATGCAGCCTGTGTGGTTGGTTGCTCCAGACCTTCCCTATCTTATCTGCCTCACAGGCTGTTTCCATGGGGGGGGGGCGGGGGGTGACTGCAGTCTGCCAAAGAGCAGAAGAAGGAGAAGCCACAGTTCTCAGTGCTACGAGCTCTCCAAAGGGCTGGGGAACCCATGATGGCCAGACCCAGCCTGCAAGAAAGCCTTAGTAGAGCTGCCCAAGGTTACGTGAGAGGATCAAGGTCACCTCCTTAGTTCTAGAGAATTCTTTCTACATAGATGCCAAGAAAGCTGGCCTCCTCCTACCCACTGTCCTTGCAGGAAAACAATGGTGAGCCAAGTGTGGTGGGTCAGTAAGATCAGAGTTCTAGATCCTTTAATACCAGAAGTTGTCCTCTGACCTCTACATAGATCCTGCCATCATGTATGCATATAATAGTAAATACAACAAAAAACATTCAACTCCAGTTCAGTAGTTTACAGATATATATGTATACATACACATACATATACAGATATATATTTATATACATATGGATATGCCTGAGGGAGGAGAAAAAAATCATAATAGACCCATCTTTATTTCAAAGGTGGAGGCTTGGATTTAATAATTTAAGGACATTACCAGGGAAGTCTTAATAAAATAAGCAATGAGATGCTTGCCCCAAAACAATAAAACTAACATAAAAGCCTAATTTGGAAAACTGTGAATCTCCTGAAAATCCAAATCAGAAATTAGGGATCAGTTGGTTAGGGATTCCCCAGTTTAACTCACAGAAGCAATGAGGAAAAGCTAATTTTTAAAACTTGACCTTGCTTTCAACAAACAGAACATAAGGTAATACTCTGAGTTTAGTATTTAATTTGTACTCAATGGCTCAGGATAGGGGAAAGGGGAAAAAACTTAAAAAAAAAAAAAAAAGAGGTAAACAGCCAGGTTAATCGACAGATGTTTAAAGATGAACATACAAAAATAAATAAATAAATATCTAGGATCATCTCCCCAGCTCAAGATGGACAGCTATTTAAAACAACAAGTACATACTTTCTATCAAACTAACAAGTCTTCATTAAAGACAAGGTAAAGTGGCTAGCTATTGATTGATTGACAGAGAAAGGCAAGGTCTTGTGTATTCTAAGCTAACCTTGAACTCTTAACCCTCCTGCCTAGACATCCTAGTGTGGGGATTTTGGTATGTACCACCATATCCATTTATGTGGTGCTGGGGATGAACCCAGGGCTTCATGCATGCCAGGCAAGCCCTCCACCAACTGACCTACTACCCCAGGCCTCTGCAGCGCCTTTTAGATATTTACCTATTTTAGATAGAACAGTAACAGTGCCTTCTATTAAAGTTTCCAGTCCTCACTATGGATGTGGATGAAGTGGCTATCCATTTATCCAACCATCAATTCATATCCATCCATCCATCTAGCCATCTTTTTATCCAGTTATCTATCCATCCACTCATCTATCCAGCCAGCCAGCCATCTATTCATTTATCCATCATCTATCTACCTAGGCTGTCTGTCTGTCTGTCTATCTATCTATCATCTATTGAAACAGAGTTTCATATCTATCTATCTATCTATCTATCTATCTATCTATCTATCTATCTATCTATCTATCATCTATTGAAACAGGGTTTCATATATCCCAGGCTGACCTCAAACTCCTGATTCATTCATTCATTCATTCATTCATTCATTCATTCATTCATTCATTCTCTCTCTCTCTCTCTCTCTCTCATCTATTGAAACAGGGTCCCATATATCCCAGGATGACCTCAAACTCCTGATTCTCTATCTATCTATCTATCTATCTATCTATCTATCTATCTATCTATCTATCATCTATTGAAACAGGGTCTCATATATCCCAAGATGACCTCAAACCCCTGATTCTCCTGCCTCTACCTCCCCAGTGATGGCCTTGTAGGTGTGCACACCACTCAGTTGATTTTGTGCTGAGGATGGAACCCTAGGGCTTCAAGTATTCTCAGTAAGCATGCTACAAACTGAGCTCCACCCCCAGCCCTCTGAAGTGGCTTTTAGATTGTTACTCATTTCAGTTGGGACAGTAACAGTGTGCCTTTGTTCTCGATTGTACTTTAGACCTCATCTGTAAACTACTGTCCTCACTTCTCAGTTCTTTGGGGTCACTGAGAACCAATTCTTCGCGCCCTGGTTTATGCCTTGACTCCAGCAGTATGGCTGTGTGCCAGGCTCTCAGTGGGAACAATTCAGATGTCCTCCAGGCTTCAAGTCAGTGGTTCTCAACCTTCCTAATGCTGTGACCCTTTAATAGGGGTTGTGGTGACCCCAACCATAAAATTATTTTGCTGCTACTTCCTAACTGTATGAATCATAATGTAAACATCTGATATGCAGGATATCTGATATGTGACCCCTGTGGGGGTCATGACCCACAGGTTGAGAACCACTGCTTTAAATAAATGCAGAAATAATCTCCCCTACTCACATGTTATGCAGACCAACGCAGTGCGCACACCAAAGTCCACCACTGTCTGGTAATGCTCAGGTACTCGGGACGTGACGACTGGGATGATGATCTCAGCAGCGACGTAGAACTGAAGAGCATATGTGAAGAAGATGCCTACGGAGTACAGCAGCTTCACGGACTGGTACAACCTGCAGAGAGTGAGTGCTCTCAGGAGCCTGATGGTGCACTCTGACAGCCCTGGACAGAGGCCAAAGCCGCCCCTGCACCCTGGAGACAACGGCAAAGGTCACCACCCCACATGGCTTCAGACTCACAAGTTTTAGGCCTGGCTCGTGCGCTCGCTCTCTCTCTCTATCTCTCTCTCTCTCTCTCTCTCTCTCTCTCTCTCTCTCTCTCACACACACACACACACACACACACACACACACACACACACTAAATGCAAATTGATTTTTAAAAAACCAATCCCCCATAGCTTTTATGTAAGGAAGGCCTACAAAAATGAAATGTTAATTCACAGAAAACTGGCTAAGTCAGTCACAATGCCGCCACATAGCTCTTCAAAACAAGGAGGCAAGCCAGGTACATCATAACCCTAGCACTCTGGAGAAGGAAGTAGGAGGGTCAAGAGTTCAAGGTCAGCCTCTGCTATACAGTGAGTTTCAGACAAGCCTGAGCTACATGAGAAGTTGCAAAAGAGAGAGAGAGAGAGAACAAAGAAAAGGAAAAAAAGAAAGTACTCCTCCCCCCCCACACAACACACACTTACACACCTCCTAGTGGTACACTGTGAGCGCAGAGACTGTGTCCCCATGGTGTGGTAAAATGTTCTCTGTATGTATACCTGCATATCTGAAATCTTTGCCCTGTGAACAGGAGCAAATACCTTTCAAAAATAACTATTAGACTCCAACAAGACTACTTCTGCCCTTCCCACACAATTCAGGGCATCTTAGAATCAGCTAGTGGCCAGGGGGTCCCCTGGGCCTTTTATCACAGATATGTGGCACTCCACATGGAGGTCACTGACATGTCATGAGGTACTCCAACTTACCACCCCAGAGCACAGTGCTTTCTAATCTGATTTAGTACATACAGGAAGGGCCACTCTGTCTTTAACAGAACTCCACCTTCATCAAGGCCTGTGCATATGGCAGCGAGAGCCACTGGCCACTCGAAGGCACATTCAGTAATTTAAAAGCAGCCCGGAGGGAAAGACTGAAATCACTCTGAACAGCAGCCCCCTTGGTTGGAAGTGCGGTGAACCTGACCCTGAGATGCCCGCTGACGAGGGATCCTGTGCTACACACTGACCCTACTGAGGCGGCATTTTTCCCGATCTGTCCTCACCCAGAGTCTCACCATTCAGAGTGCCATGAAACAGGCTGCACGGAAAGGCTGCTCTAGGTCCCTGGGTGTTTCTCAGGTGAGCAAAACAACTGCTCTGCACAATGAGGTTTTCAACTTCCAAACAGAGGCTGCTTCGCACATGCTCTTGGAGAGCCAGGCACTTCTGCAGGTCTGTTTTTCCCTATAGCGTGTCCACTGAGGAAAGACATTTGAGGAAGGACTCCCGAGAGCCAACAGTCCACAGGGAGATGTTCCCACCTGCACGGCACATCTGTGACTGCCCAGACAGGCCTGCCCTCCTCCACAGGTGTCTGGAATGACTGTAGGCACAGAGCGGATACTTAGTCCTTCTGGGCTCAATATTTCCCAGGAGAAATGCCTTAACAGACGGGAGGTTCACGCATGAATTCAGTACAAGCTGCTGCAGGAATCACAAGCTCAGGGTAGCCAAGCGGCAAGGAAAAGCGGCATTCTTACCTATCACCTTCTGGAAGTTTCCAATCCCCCCCCCATCCCCTCCACGTACCAGCAGTTGGGCAGGTTGAGTGTGATGCTGCCCTTAATACTATCTTCAAATTGCAGGTACCCCAGGGTCCCCAGGCTGATATAGAGGGCAGTGATGATGGTCATCCCCAAATACAGGATGAATGGAAACTTCTGGGAGTCCTTCATTTTGTTCTCAAGGGGCAGAACCTATAAAAAAGTGATAAGGGGGAAGAAAGCACGTGAGAAAGAAAAGTGGACGCACCACGGAAATGGCATTATCAGTGGCCCGGGGGACTTGCTGCACATGCATGAGAACCTGAGTTCAGATGCCCAGGACCCACAAAAAAGCCAGGTGTGGTGGCGTGAATCTGTAACCCCGGCACCTGGCAGAGGTGGGGTGGGGTAGGAGGACAGGCTGATCAATGGAGCTCGATGACCAGACAACAGTCTAGCCAAAGCAGGAAATTCTGGGTTCAGTGAGAGACATCATGTCCAAAAACGGACAGTGCCAGGGGGAGACACGTGATGTTGACTTCTGGCCTCCAAACACAAAAGCGCACACACACACACACACACAGAGCATCTTGAAAGAAAATAGAATCTTTATTGCCAGACCCCCAAGTATGCATTCCTTCAGTGCACAGTGAAGTCAGTTATTCTATCAGCAACTACACTCTCAGGCACACAACGGGCTTCAGAACCCACTGTCTAACCAGGAGTGAGGAGAGGTAAGACGTCAGAGGCTGGGGGCGCCCTTCACCTCATAGCAGTATGGCCCCCAGCAAGACTCTGATGCTTGTCCTGAGATTGCAGCCTCCAGCCAATTTTTCTAAGCATGAGCTTCCCTTCTTCAATTTGTTTGTGCGGGGGAGGGAAAGGGTCTCCTGTACCTAGGCTGGCCTCAAACTAGCTATGTAGCCAGTGATGACTTAAACACCCACTTCCCGGGTGCTGTGACAACGGGCACGTGCCACCACATCCAGCTCAAGAGATAATCCCCAATGGGGTTTCCTAAGCATTAAAGCAGACAGTGGGAATGCTGAGGGACCAGGGAGCACTCAGGCCCAATCCACAGTGCCCCTCTTACCATGCCGATGCCTTCAAAAGCAAAAATTGCCGTGCCAAAGAACAGAGGGTAGGTCTTCCATGGAGCCACCAAGGGGAGGTGTTTGGGGTCCGGGATCCCCTGGAAAAGATGAGCAAAGCCAAGGGCTATTCAGAGACTCGGACTTTGAATCACAAGTCAGGGCATACCTTCTCCTAAATCCAAGATTTCATAAAAGGAAGAAGCTGATGAGCAAGCTGGAACAGTCAACTTTTCTCTCTCTTCAGGTTGCGAAGCCCCTACTTGCTGTGGATAAACATCTGCCCAGTATACCAGATGCTCACATGCTGACGCCTGCATAAAGCCTCACTCTTTCACTCCGTGAGCGCAGCCCTAGACATTTGATATAAGAGAAGAAACTGAAGAGATAAGAGAAACTGAGCAAAGCTACTTAGAAAGAAAGAAACGGAAAGCCATCTTAAATACTCCAAAAGAAGAGATCGATTAACCACACGCTGAACATATCACAGAATATTACACACTATATAAAAAGTAAAAGTAAAGGCAAACACGGGAGTGCATGCCTGTAAACCCAGCACTTTAGGAGGCTGAGGCAGGAGGATCAGGAGTCTGAAGTCAGCTGGGACTCGGTATGTGAGATAGTAAAGAAGAAGAACATGAAAAACTGACTATTGGATAATATTGAGGAAATATTTAGTACATTATAGCCAGGTGTTGTGACTTACATCCGTAATCCCAGTCCTCAGGAGGCTGAGGCAGGAGGATTAGGAGTTCAAGATCAACCTATGATATATAGTGAGCTGGAGGCCAGCCTGGGCTACCTGGTCTGAAAAACTAACTAACTAACTAACTCCCACCACAAAGTTATGTAATAATCATGCTGCAACTATGCAAACATCAGCAGGGATAAAGCTGGAAGACGAGATCTCTAGATGGGTCTCTTCCTCCCCCACCTTCCTTTTTTTTTTTCATCAGTTAGACTGAGCACTTTAAAAATATCCAGAAGCACACGGGAAGAATGCTGAGGAATGCTGAGGATAGGAAGCAAAACAATTTCTTTTTTAAACGTAAAAGTCAAAGCTGAGGATGAGGGTGGCTCGGTCGTTACAAGAGGACACACTGCTCTTGCAGAAGACCCAAGTTCAATTCCCAGCACCTACACTGAGTGCCTTACTACTATTATGTGACTCCAGGAGGCTCTGACACCCTCTTGAGACCTCTATGAGACCTGTACTCATGTACACATACCCACACATATATGTATAATTTTAATTTTTAAAATTTGACTCTAAAAAAAAAGAACATTTTGGTATTCGGGATATAGACAAATAGGTATCTCTGCTCTAAAATGAAACCTGAGCACAAGCTCACTAGTAATTACTCCTGAGTCACAGATGAAAATATACTGGAAACAGATGCTGCCCACAGGTAAGTGACTGACAGCTGCCAGGTTTACCTATCAATCAGATGGAGCTGTGAGGAGGGGTTTCACAGTTCACAGCTATGAGTGCTGGGTGACTGAGACAGGTGGATAGGACAGCCATCATTCCATCAATTGAGTGATTGATGTTGACAATACTGATCTACAACTCAGTGAAGTAGAGAAAGTTCCCTATCCAAAGGAGCTTGTAAATTATAAACACAAGCTCAATTCTACAACAAGATCAATAAAATAAAAGCTCAAGAGAAGTGTCATAAAATACATAGATTGAAAGACCTAGGTGGGATGATCTCTTTGGTCTGTCACGGGAGGCCCATCTGGAGTCAACATTTGTTCCCATCTCCCCGGGAAGTTGTGCAACATCTAATCTAAATATGCCACATGTAAGTAGTGCGTGATCACTCCATTTGATTTCCCATACTCCACAGGATGGGGGAGGGCCTGGGACTGTACCTGGATGATGAATTGGTAGATTGTGACAAGGCTGACCAGCATACTGATGTTGGCCAGCAGGGAGAAGATGGACAGAACGCGCAGATTCCTGATGAAGGTCAGCAGCACCAGGAAGGGCAGGAAGACGAGCATGTAGAGTCGAGAGTCCATGGTGGGCATCAGGACCACAGTCTCATTGTTGTGGCAGTTGGTGGTGGTCCCGTTGGCTGCCTCTATCACCTGGAATGAGAAGGAAGGAGGCAAGCCATAGGTGACGAGAGCCAGCGGGTGTCCAGCTGGAGAGAGTTCTGACGGAGGGTCAGGTGTGTGAACTCGACATTTTACATAGGCACCAATCAATGGCTGAGGAACATTCCTGGGAGTCTTCACTGTTGCAAACCATCTGAGCTGGGTCTGATCATGTTTCACAAAAGACAGAAGGATGTGGGAGACAGATGAGTGGAAATTTAACGGTAAGTTCTTCCCATTCTAATCCTAAGCTTTCCTGCTGGTGTTCGGGAAGCAGAGAAGCCTGCAGGCCCTGAGTAGCTGTCATGCCTGAAATGAAGGGGGACACTCTAACACTTGAGTCCCCGCTTCTGGCTGTCTGAACTCTGGAACCCTAGACAGTTGGAATTCCCCCAGTAATCTAATGCTGAGAAAAGGAAGAGCCCTGGTGCCAGCCAGGGCTCCTGGGAAAGGGCAGGGATTCCACACAGTGCCAACAAGATAACCTGTCCAACCACCTTGCAGGAGAGACTGGAGCAGAAACAATGACGGGCCAGTGACAACAGGACCACACCTTGATCAGGGCTACTTCATTATATCTTTCTCTTTCCTTCATATTCAAACCTTAATCTCCTGTTGGGACCCTTGGTGGGGACCCATGGATCCTTCCGATCAGTGAGGCCATACTGAGTAAGTCTTTTTCTGCTCTTCATTATCAACTCTGTTCTTTTCATTGACTTATTCAGAACAGGAGGCTGAACGTGGCTTATTAGAGAGCTAGGGCACAGGCTCTGACCCCAACTCCATTAACAGAGCCTTTAGGGCCAAGGGTTTCAGACATCCCATGTCTGTGAGATACAACCCTGGCTTCTGTCAAGGACTGAAGGATCCTGACACCTAAGCCTGCCCGCAGCCTCTACAGAGAGAGCTATGCATGTCTACAGATAAAGGTTCCATTACTAAAGGCTTCCACAGGAGTAACACTAGAGGGCGCCACCTGCTGAGGTTTCCCTCTGCCTGCTGCCAAGGACTACAAAAGCTACCCAAGACCAGCCCTTGAAGAGCTTCTCCTCCTTATGTAGGGGTGACTTCAGCCAGGTAGAGTCCAAGGACCTGGAGCCAGCTGATGGCCACACAGGCAAGGCAAGGCAAAGTCTCTTTACATCACGGGTTTTTAGATGAGAAGCCAACACCAAAGGCTCAAACCCAAACCATTTTGGCTTGGAAGGAGCCTTGAACAAAATCTACTCGATTCTCGCCCTTCCCTGTTTTTCAGAAGAACTCTACCTGTTTAAAATTGTCAGCCAGAAACACAAAGTAGACGCAGCAGAATCCCAGCTGAGTGACAATGAGGAAAAAATCCACGATGTGCCTGCAGAGGGGACGAGAGGAACACACAGACCATCAGATCCCAAGGCTTCCCAGGAGATGAACCTCTGAGCAGCAGGTGATAAGTCAAGCTGGAGTGACAGGACAAAGCATGCCAGTGTCACCAGAACCATTTGGGAAGGATAGTATGGAGGGGCCATCTATACTCTGCAAGTCCTTTCCCTGGCTCTTGTCTTTCTGCATGAGCTCAGGGCATCACCAGAGCACAGCCTGGCGCCTGGCCTTCTCCTGCCCATCCACCACACTCAACTCTTCCTTCCTAAAGCTACAGAGAGCCCTTGGCATGAAAGACCAGGAAGCAGCCCCTTCTCAGCCTCTTCCTACAACCGGGACCCAAGAACTGACCTAGCTGCAGGTGAATGAGCAGAAACAGGTGTGCCAAAGCAGACGGCTGCTAGAGCAGCGTGGCCACAGCTGGGGACGATCTGAAGCCCCAGCGAGAGGAATAGGGTGGCCACAGCTGGGGACGATCTGAAGCCCCAGCGAGAGGAACAGGGTGGCCACAGCTGGGGACGATCTGAAGCCCCAGCGAGAGGAACAGGGTTACAGACCCTTCTCAAATGGAACATGGCACGGCACTTAGAAAGAACGGGTTAGATCTGGAACCATTTCTGGAGAAAACTATCCAAGGCATCAAAGGACAAAAAGCAAGTTTCCAAACAGCATACACGGGAAGAGCCACTTGCCAAAAAAGGATAAATGCCAGAGCACATGCATGTTTCTATGTATACAGCAAGTTCCAGAAGAACCAGAAGGGTGCCCGTGCCACCGGACTATGGCCAGTATTTAATTCTGTTTTTCAAACTGTGCCCTCTTGCCAAATGCAAACAGTATTCTTCCTATGAGAACAGGGAAGGGTGTGTGGGAGAATGGAGGGAAAGGAGGGAGGGAGGGACAGACAAACAAACTACAGTGGACACTTGGTGACCTGGCTGCTCCTCAACAGATATTCTGCCAGAGAAGAAAGGAAGGAAGGAAGGGGGGTGGGGGGAGAAGGGCACACGCCATATTATAGGGTAGAGCTGTACATGATGGCAAGCACCCTCCTCACTGAAACGAAAGTAAGGATTCAGGCCCTTGACAATGTGAATTCTCTCCATCTACACAGAACAGAAAGTGGGTTGTTTCTCTCCAGTCACCTGGAAAGTCAGGAGAAATTCCCCAGATCTCCCCACCTGCTCTGGACGCTGCCCTTGCCTGCCCCATGCCCTTCACCCCACACGGCCAGACTCCACCCTCCGGCCTCTCGTCTGCACACTCCTTGCTGACTCCATTGTTCCTGGCTTCTCTTCCCCTCCCATCCACCTTTCACCCTACGAAGCCCCTGCATGGTGGGGACAACATCATTTCTGTCAGGGAAGCTCCTTTTCTAAGCTGGAATCATTTTTGTGCCATTTATGAGAGATGGCATAAGATACATTTGTTGAACGATCGGAGCGCTCACAGCCTTCGGGGGGCCTCAGAGTGCACACAGCCTCAGGCTCTTGGGGCTGGGAAGCCTTCAGAGGTCCTTCAGGTCAGGCACCAGATATTAAAGATGAGGAAACTGAGGCCCAAAGATACCACTGGTTGAGCTAACCCCAACACCACCCTCTGCTCCTGGCACTGTCCCCACATCACACCCTCCTGTTTCCGGTCCCCATGCTGGGAGCTGTGGTCAAGAGGAAGGGGGAAATCAATCACCTTCCCCAGTGGGAGTGGCTCCGGACCCAGGCGCTTGGGCTGCACTCCAGTCCGTACATCACTGTGTCCCCATAGTCCAAAAAGGGTTTGTTCAGTCTGGAAAAGCAGAATGTATGGGTTAGACAACAACGGTAAAAGAAAAGACGGAGATACTGGGACATGGGCCAGTTCCCCGCCTGTCACCCTGAGGGGACCTCTGAGTCCCGCAAGGACCACACGTGGGGTGCACGTACATATGTGTGCGCACATGCATACACGTTCATGTGTGTACAGGTGCACACACACGGAGGACAACTGTGGATGCTGGTGTCTCCCCCAGTCGCTCTCTACCTCTTCCTGAACCTGGGGCTTGCCCACTATTAGAATAATGGCTGTCCAGGGAGCTTCCTGTCTCTGCCTCGCCGGGGCAGCCACTGCAGGAGCTCACCCCTGCACCCAGTTTCCTCTTCTACTTTTTAACATGGTCACTGGGTTTCTGAACCCAGATGCCCATGCCGACACACTAAGCATTTTACCAAATGAGCCCTCTTCCAAGCCCTGGGTCACAGGTATTAAGTAAATGGATGGAATCCTCATCATAATCCACAAGCATCTGGTAGAGATATTTCAGTGCAGTAAATTAACAAGCGCAAAAATCAGAATGTGGTCTCTGCCCGCTGGACATACGTAAATTGAACAGATAAGCCCAAAAAAGGTTAAAAAAAAAAAAAAAAGCAACACCACAGTGACAGCAGCCATCCCCAGCTAGGTGACGAACCCAGAGGAGCTGTACAACCCACTTTCAGACTGACGAAGGACCACGCTGGCAATCTCCGCCCCTCAGGAAGTGGCTGGGGGGGGGGGGTGTCTCACCTGCGGCATAAGTGATGAGCACACTTCACCAGGATACTCATGCAGTGCACGGCCACGATGCCAATCACCAGCAGGCTGAGAGGGCCCAACTGGGGACCGAGGTTGCAGACAAAAGAAAGAGAAGCAGCAGAATTAGGAGAGAGCCCGAAAGAGACTGGGTGTGCAGATGGCAAAATGCTATTAGGGCACTTCTAGGGACAGAGCTCCGGACAGCAGGAGAGAGACATGATCCAGGAGACTGGACCTGTGTGTGTCCTCAGCCCTGGTCTAGACAGTTGATCTGTGGACAATGGATCCACAGGGCTGAAGTTCCTGGCAGGCTCTGGGATGTAGCAGGGGTAGTGATCCTGAGGGTGATCAGCAAGGTCAGCACTTGGACGGCCAACACCTCCGAAACCATGATGGCGCTGGGCAAGCAGCTTACGTGTGGTGAGTCAAAGGGAGGGAGGGGCTGCCAGCTAACGTCACTGGCCCAGGCTCAGAGCCTAGGAAGTGCCTGGCACACAGAGAGCCCTAATGCACAGCTTTTGATGCGTGAATGTCTAAAACCTTTACCAAGAGGCCTGCATTTTTCACTGCCAGCGGCAGCCCCAGGAGTCCGGTGCCAATGTTGCCTTTTAGCAGGTGGACCAAGGTCTGGAACCATCTGAGGTAGGAAGGCAAGGAGGAAGCATTAGTTACAATTCGGGCCGATGCTTATCCACACATTATCTTATCTGATTTCCCAAACAATCTTGTGATGTCTTATTTCATAGATGAGGAACCAACTTGTTCAAGGGGCATGCCTCCCAGGAACAGCACTTCCTAAGCCCTCCTCTCTTAGAAGCCAGTTCAGAGGGATAATGGAGGCTCTTTCCAGGCATTCCATCTTTTCTGGCTGCATTCAGGGCTGGATTTGACCACTGAGTGAACCACCCTGACAACTCCCAAAACGCCACAGAGGATGACAAGATGTAACTATGAAGGGTAGACCTCAGTGTGGGAAAACAGGGGTAATCAAATAAATAAATAAAGTCCAAACTGGCTGTGGTGGTGACATTTAATCCCAGCACCTAGGAGGCAGAGACAGGTGGAGCTTCTAGAGTTCAAGGCCAGCCTGATCCTCACAGCCAGTTCCAGGCCAGCCTGATCCTCACAGCCAGTTCCAGGCCAACCAGGACTATATATTGAGTCTCTGTCTTAAAAATTAAAAACAAATAAACAAAAAAACTACTCGATAAATAAATAAAATAAAGCCCAACTCCTCTAACAGTCAGTCACCCAGTACCATGAGGGACTCAACATCCCAACTAGGCCAGGCATGGTGGCACACACCTTTAATCCCAGCCCTTGGGAGGCAGAGGCAGGAGAATCTCTGTGAGTTCGAGCCCAGCCCTGGTCTACATAAGTTCCAGGACAGCCACGGCTAAATAGAGAGACCCTGTCTTAAAACAACAACAACAAATGTTTCTATTGGACTTTGTGTTTGAAAAGATAGAAGCCAAATGCTGCTTTGGGCTCAGGACTAGAGAAGCCCTCTTCAGTGGTCCCTGGTTCACCCCTGTGCCCTAAGGACAGAAGTCCCTCTAAATTTGTACAGATTGCCCCCACTGTTTTATGACTTCATATAAAGCCTCTCACGTGTTCTCATTCATTTTTTTTTCACTCCACAAATACTTGGGTGGATATGGATGAGTCAGATGTGGATGTCAGCCTCTAGAGATATGTAATATCTCAAGGGAAATAAGAGATGAGGGGGTAGGGGAACAGAGCCAGGGAGAATTGAGGCAGGTGAGTGGGGGGCAGAGACCTGAGGCCAAAAGGTGAAGTGTGTGTGGTAGGATGGGGGAGCTCACTGCCATGTGTAGTGGGTAGCCATTCCAGCTTTGTTCTGGAAGTTCCAACCCCCATTGAGACTTCGGCAACTGTCACGCCTACAAGGCGGAGCCAAGGGAGGCGCCGGAGGACCCGAGATCTGGATCGGCGGGCGCTCTCTCTGTTGCGGGACCCTGGACTGGAGAGGTGGACTGAGCAGAGCTCCAGAGAACACCGCTGGACTGTGATACACCTTCCCCAGACTCCGCGACCTACCTATTCCTTAATTTGTAAGTTACGCCATTAAATAAATCTCCTTTTAACTACGTGGAGTGGCCTTAATAATTTCACCAATAGCCATGGGCAAGGGGAGGCTACAGGCCCTGCTGAGAAACAAGGATCACCTGAGGAATGGGTTGTGATAACAGCAAGGGTGAGTCAGGAGTTTCCCCTTCTATAGGGAAGGCAGAGGCCACCCAGACCACACAGGAGTGTGCTGGTCATACCTTTCTTTGCCTCTTGTTCCCCCACGACAGAGCAGGAAACAGCTCAAGTGAGGTGCCTTCAATCCCTCAAGACTTGGCCCTGGACAGAAAAATCCTTTTGCACAAATAGCCCTCAAGATCCTTCAAAACTGACATTTGCACACAAATCTGCATTTGGCAGAAATCAAAAGTCAACAACATTGCTGCCCACAAAGGCCATTCCCTCAAGTCTACCAGGAAGGTCATCTGATCTACCTCCATTCTAGCATCTGCAGGATGGACCATTGAGAAAAGGCCTTTGACTCCCAGGAGTCCTGCAAGGGTCCAACCGCATTATCAGCAGCCAGCAGCCAGGAGACGTAACGGGCTGTTAAGTCTCTGTCCTGGCAAATAAATGTTTAACCCACTGAAGTGCAAAGGTAAGTTTGTACCACACCCTCTCTCCTCCCTGAAGCCTTCCCCAAACGCCGCTGTGCTGGGCTTCCTGGCCCCAGACTTGGCTGTCTGTCGATCTGATCTGCGTGGCCACTCCCTTCCACTCTGGGAACTGTTATCTCACCCGAACCGAGAGGTAACGGGACCAGGGCAAGGTGATCCCGAAGTCCCTTCCACTCAGAAACATCAGGATTCTAGGCCGAGGGTCAAAATTGTCCAAGATGATGTCCCCTCAACACCAGGTAGGCATCACAGTATCGCCTCCAAGGCTGACAGTCTACCACAGGGTGGGTTAGCTTCTGAAGACCTACCAGGTCCCTCCAGTTTTCATTTGTGCCTTCAGTGGCTCTTAGGCTTTTCTTTCTTTCTTTTTTATTTTTCTGGTCCCAGGTCTTATTTTATTCTCTGATGAATTAAGGACCCCTGATATCTTTGCTTATGTAGGTTTTATCTACATAAGTTATATTACTAAAACCCAAACTTTAAATTTTACAATTTAAAATAACAGTAAGTCTAATACATACTAGTAGTTTAATGATTAACATTAAATATGGGAATGGTATTGTATCACTTGTTTTTATAAAGAGTCACTTAATTTTTTAATTTATGTGTATGAGTGTTTTGTCTGCACTCATGTCTGTGAAACATGTAAGCGTAGTGCCCTCACAAGCCAGAAGAGAGTGTCAGATCTCCTGGGACTGGAGTTATGGACAGGTGACCCACCATGTGGTTGCTGAGTATCAAGCCTGGGTCCCCTGGAGGAGCAGCAACCATCTAGACCTCCAGCCACTCATTTTTTTATTTTTATTTTTTTTGGTTTTTCAAGACAGGGTTTCCCTGTGTAGCTTTGCGCCTTTCCTGGAACTCACTTGGTAGCCTAGGCTGGCCTCGAACTCACAGAGATCCGCCTGGCTCTGCCTCCCAAGTGCTGGGATTAAAGGCATGCGTCACCACCGCCCGGCCATTTTTTTTTTTAAATTGTATTTATGTGTGTGTGCGCGCACACTCACGTATGAGTGAGAATGCCCTCAAAGGCCAGAAGAGGGTACGGGATCCCCTAAAGCTGAAGTTATAGGGAGTTGTGAGATGCCCAAAATGTGGGTGTTGAGACCAGAACTCAGGTCCTCTGCAAGGGCAACAAATGCTCTTAACCACTGAGTCTGCGCTCCAGCACCACCTCCCCCATCACTGTTTAAAATATCTCCTAAATGTCTCACCTAAGAGAAGACAGCTGGGTTTCTGCTTCAACCCTCAATCTACATGTGCTGCTTTGCTGAAAGCCTATGAGAAAGTGTGCTCTCCCTAGACACAGAGCGGGAAAAAGAAGGAACATTTTAGCCGTCTCTTGAACTACGGCAGTTCTTCTCTGACATCACTCCAAAATGAAATGCAGGGGTCCTTTGTTGTTGTTTTGAGGCAGGGTTTCTCTGTGTAACAGTCCTGGCTCTCCTGGAACTCGCTCTGTAGACCCGGCTGGCCTTGAACTCACAGAGATCCACCTGCCTCCATGCATGGGTTCTTTATCAGTTAGCTGCAACATGGACTCTGAACCTCCCATGATCCGTTCCTTTAACACACGGTTGCAGCTGTCTGCAGCGACCTTTCCCTCACGCACAATTTCCTAACATACGTGGAGGTTCCAAGGTTCCGAATACCAACCTCTTTCATGACGGCAGCTCAAAGCCACACTTTGACCTCACCGGAAAGCATGTGTGAGCTCACAGTGCTGGGTACAAGGGTGGATGGGATGTTCTGTTTGTTTGACTTTTTTTTTTTCTAATTTTTCTTGAAAGTTCAAATTTTACGTGAATCACAAAAACATTGTTGATGGTTTTTCTTGAGTTAATGGGTTCGTTTCTTTCATTTTCAAAGGAAATGCTTAAATATTAGGGTATGGGAAACCTAGTTAGCTAGTTGTTCTTTCTAGTAAAATAAACCTTTTCTGTTAAAAAAAAAAGTGAACAAAAACTCCAGTTAGTTCAGTTGGCAACTGCCAATACTTGCACTCTGGGATCTGGTATTTTATATAGTGACTACCAAGAGACCCATGCTAAGGGTTGCAATTTAATAAGAATTAATGATCTCACTATCTCGTCAAGGACTTGTTTGGTTATTGGAGACAGGGTCTCATGCATCCCAGGCTGGCCTTGAACTCCCTATGTAGTCCAGGATGACCTTGAACTTCTGATCCTCCGGCCTCCAGCTCCCAAATGTCCCCACACTGAGTTTATGTGTTATGAGACCTAGGCAAGCACTCTGCCGCTTGAGCTACGGCCCCAGCCCTCATCAAGGACGATCTCAAGTGAAACTGGCCTTTTCCTTCTACTCACAGGTGACTAGGATAGTGGAGATATGGGGGGGTCGATGGGGAGGGAGCTGCAGACACACACTGCTCCTGCGTCCTCATGCACATGTGAACAGGACGAAAGGCAAATGACATCTTAGCACTTTTAGGAAGAGAAACAGTCTTGGGACCCCAAAAGCTCTACAGAGCGTATTTGGCAAATGGCTGTTCCATTTCAACCAAGACTAGCTGGTGTCTCAGCCTGCTGGCCTGGGGAAGCACCACTGGGGTGGGATAGAGAACTGTTACCAAGGACTCAACAGGGCAACAAGAAGGAAAATGAGCCCTACTGTGTGTAAACTGTCCTACTGCGTGTAAAGTGCCCTAGTGTGTGTGATCCGCCCTAGAGTGTTAATGGAGGCTGCTGTCAGTACTGTCAACAACTCCATGGCCCGGAATGTTAGGGGAAATCACAACACTCTGGCACAGAAATGCCTAAGATCTCTATTTGATCGCACTCACTACTCTGGGCTTTTAACTGATCTTTCAACTTCTAGAAGAGTCGGTATGCTTAAGCAGCTCTTCCAAGGTACTCTGCTCCTTAATAACGTAGATGACAAGGAAGGGTGAGGGTCTCACATCATGTCCCTCACACTACCTAGGAGAGATTAACAAGGGTCCCCAATCAGCCTTGGCCCACCTGGCATGTTTCCTGAATAAATGCCTGGGGAGATCCTGTCCCCAGACTGGAGTGACCGATACTCTAAGACCCAAATGTATAATACTTTGCCCTGTATCTAGGAAAATGTCCTAACACAAGCCGAAGGAGGGAACTGTCTACTTGGCTTGATTTCCAAGAGACCAGGGAAAGTGATAAAAGCAACCTTGAGGGCAGTCCAGGCACGTGTCCTTGAACGGCTGACCTGGAAAGGCCAGGCAGCTGGTCTTGAGTTTCAGAAAGACGTCTATAAAAGTGAAAATTTAGACTGAGCACAGAAAGCACTGTGCAAACAACTGATGATTGGAAGAAGTATTTCACAAGCCCTGAAGGGAGTTCCTTCTCCCTGGGAGACACTGATGGGGCGGATGAGGCCAGAGGGGTGACAGGAAGGAGGTCCCGGCTGCCACCAGCAGCACCTTAAGCAATCTTTTCCACCACCTAAATCTGCAAATAAATCGGGACTCTACAGTAGTGTGCTGTATGGGTAATGTGCTACAAGCCAGAATCTTTGTGCTAGCGGTGGCAAGGAGCCAATCATGTGAACAGATCATTCTCCATGCCCGGCTTAGTTCACAGGGGAAAATGTCCCTCCAGGAGAGAGTGCAGGCTGAGGGCATGTCCCCACAACTTCCACAGTCCTCTGGAGCAGTCATGGAGAGTGGAGGCGTGTAGCATTACGCTAAGGCACAAAGCAGCCCTCGGTTAAGTCACAGCCAACCCACCATGGAACACAGGAAGGGTGACAGCTGAGACTGGGGATGAACGACAGGGCTGCCAAGGACAGGGTCCTGGCACCTTGGAAAAGGCCAGGGGCATGCTGGGAAACTCAGCACGGAACCCCTCCCTCTGAAGCTTGCAGTTCAAGGAGCAATCCTCCTACAGCCAGTCCAGTTTCCCAGTGGGCTTCTCAACCGGTCCTCGGAGCTGGAGAGATTGAGAACCAGAGGGCCAGACTGTACCAGATGAGACTGGTATCGCTTCCAGGTTTGAGACTGCAGCCTCCTTAAGGGACGCAAAGTGTCTCTTCCCTACCAACTCTGGAGGGTTCTCAAATACAGCTGCCACTCCCTCCCTCAGCTCTGCCGGGAGGCTCTGCCGAGGAAGCGCTAATGGGAGGTATCTGACACTCGGTTCTAGCCCAAGAGATTATCCTCTAGAGGCTTTTAAGTCAAAGCTCTTCCTGGCCACCAGCCTCCTGGAACTAACAAGGAATAAGGAATGACTAGGGAGGGGAGGAACCCCTTGCTGGTCCTGCCCGCAGATAGCCTGCTTTCCCTGTCAAGCAGGGTATGCAGAATGGGAAGATGGAGGCCCACAGTGCTCCAAGGGACACTTGGGGACAGGAGAGCCCACTCCATGGCAGGACGTCACAAGTACTCACGTTGTGCTACTGTTCTCCCCTAAGCGTTGGTAGGAGCCGGGAGAGAAGTTGCCAAGGCCTTCAGATGGGCTCTCCTCAGGGCTCACGTCAGTGGAGCTGTAGTCGTGATAGTCTTCGTTCCGAAGTCTCTGTGTGGACATGGTAGCTGGGGGGACAGGGGCAGCGTTAAGACCTCCAGTAGCTGGGGCCTTCATCTCCAAGTGTGGGGTGGGCTCAGTCGCAGAGGTAGGCATTGTCCCAGCTGCTCCCAGGGATGGATGCACTACGGAGTGGGTCTAACCAGAATGCCCAGTACCAACCCAGGAGAATGCAAGAGGCACAAAGTCCACGGGGCAGGCTGGGCCTGCTTGGCCTCTGCCTCCCCACCTTCCCACATGGTGCCACACTCATAAATTTCTAAATTCATTCTAGGGCACCTGGGCAACGAACAGGTGAGGCAATGCTGGGCAGGGCAGGGGAATGCAAGTGTGCACTTCCAGGAAGCCTTCCCTGGTCTTCTGGTTTGGTTCACCTCCACCCTCCTCCGAGCTTATCTCTTGGACCTCAAGCAGTAGTTAAATCACACACCTTTCCCAAGAGCGAGCTCTCATGAGGCGACATGAACCTGGATGTTTCTTCAGATGTCCTTTTTATCCTCTGCCTTCAGCAGAGACCACGGTTATAGTCATGAAATCCTCTCTGGGTCACCCAATTCTGCTCCAGCTCCACAGGGTCCCAGACCACAAACAACCCCCTCACTCCCACCATGGGCTCAGTCCATCTCCTACTCTTTGGAAGCTGTGATGGTTAATTTTAATTGTCACCTCGACACAACCTACAATGGCCCAAAAAGAGAATCTCAACGAAGGTCTGTCTAGATCAGGTTGGCCTGTGGGCATGTCTAGGGGGAAACTGTCTTAATTAAGTTAACTGACGTGGAAAGACACTGCCCATTATGGGCAACACCACTCCCTAGAAAAATCAAGCTGAGCACAAATAAGCAAGAGAGCATGTCTACATTCATTTCTTTTTCCTTTTGACTGTGGATGCAATTAGCTCAAGTTTCTGTCACCTTGACATCCCTGAAATGAATGGACTACTGCCTAAAATTATGAGCTAAACTAAACCCTTTCTCCTCCAAGCTTGTTTACATCCGGGCCTTTCATCACAGCAACAAGGACGAAACTAAGATGGAGTGATCAGGAGAGCTTGACTCCTTACCCTGGGCTCTTTTCTTGCCACCAACCTGAGTGCTGGAATAGGGTGGCCGACCACAGCTCGAAGGAAAAGGAATAGGAGCAGGAGAGACCATGAGATACCCCATCTTTGTCTCAGTAGCTCCTCTCCACGATGCTGTGTTGGGGCTCATAAAATGATACCCCAAAGTGCAGTACAAAAATACAGCTTTGGCATGCCAAGCACGTTGAACTAAAGGAGACCTGAAGGCCATAGAAATGACCCCAACAGCAAGGTCCATTGACCTTCTCCTGTCCCATGCCTCCCTCCCAACCTTTGTCCCTGAAGTGAACTCAGAAACCAGAATTCTCCCCCATTCTGCAAAGCAGCCACAAAACCTAAAATGGCCATTCTGTCCCTTCTGCCTTCGTAGACCTGTCCTGGAAGGAGAGAAAGATCCACACAGAGGCAGAAAGGACTGAGTGGTCAGACTGCCGGGGTGGAGCTCAGCTGGCTTCCACTACCACACACTCTGTGACCAGCTTTCCACACAGCTGCCCACACTTCAGCAAATCGGAGCATACAGATGGGAATGTGAACTCAAGGTGGACTGTTCCCCCTGGATCCTTCCATAGTCTTCTCTGAAGGCTCCCATGTCACACAAAATGCTGACTGAATAAACACTTGAGCCCTCATTAACCTGTCTTCTTACAGGAGTGTTGGCCGTGACCTTCATGATGGGGAGGACGGTGTCACGCCTTTCCAGCCCTCTGCCTTCTCTTAAATTTTTATAGATCTGCTCATGTTTAAAAGATGGTGAAAGAAGTAACCCTCCCTGTTGTGTACTGAGGAGGGATGGTGAGGATGTGTCCTCTCCACATGGCTCTGGGCAAGAGAGGAGGGGAGGGCTTCTCTCAGCCAGGTGAAAGTTGTGGAAGTCCCTACAATCCTAGCCCAGTGTTAAGGAGCCTTCACAGGTCACCTCAAGCCCCTCGTTGTATAGATGAAGGCTCTCCCCCAAAGATGGAGGAACCTGTCCTGCTAAGCGGTAGCAAGGCAGGAAGTATATGTCCCTCCTGACTGCCTCCTGCTGTGGAAATGTCTACTGATGACAGTGCCAGGTGCTGTGGGAACTAAATGGGAAAAAGTCAACTCCATATCCTTCAAGAATCCGCAGTCAAATAAGGGTGGGAAAGTACATTAGCAATAAAAATGATCAAGACAAGCCATCCCTTCTCCATCAGGCTCTCCCCCAGCATACAGACACTAGCCTGGCTCTGAGATGCTATCTCAGGGTGAGAAGCTGCCTCTCCAACTGCCACCCCAACACCAGCTGCCCAGAAGATGTCTCTCTGCTCAGGGCTCCCCTCTGGGGATGCCCGAAAACCAGCCCTGCCTCCAGCACAAGAGTGATCCAGGGACACATCATCTTTTACCAACTGCAAGTCAGGAAAGGATTCGTGCATCCTCACAAAGTGGAGAGTCAGTGGAGAGTCAGTAATGGGCCTGTCTTAGTCCACTCTCTGTCGCTGTAACAAACTATCTGAAGCTAGGTAATTTATTAAGAAATGAGCAGGGGCTGTTGAGATGGCTCAGCGGTTGAAAGCACTGGCTGATCTTCCAGAGGTCCTGAGTTCAATTCCCAGCAACCACATGGTGGCTCACAACCATCTCTAGTGGGATCTGATGCCCTATTCTGGCCTATAAGTGTACATGCAGATAGAGCACTCATGCATAAAATAAATAAATCGAGAGAGAGAGAGAGAGAGAGAGAGAGAGAGAGAGAGAGAGAGAGAGAGAGAGAGAGAGAAAAGAGAAGAGAAGAGAAATGAGCTCACAATTCTGAGGGTTCAGGTACCTGCTGGCTTCCCTCAAGGGTCTCACACTGCTTCAGGCACGGCAGCAAACCAGAAGCTCTTGGGGAAGTGAGGAAAGGAGGTCACAAGAGTGAGGAGAAGAGGTCACAAGGTGAGAAGAGACCAAGGGGAGGAGTCATGCTCACTTCCTAACTGTCCATTCCCACGGTTACTAACCCACTTGCTGGGCAACTACATTAATCCCTCCATGAGAGTAGTCCCATGGGTCTCTTAAAGACCCCCACGTTTCTCAAGGCCATCACCTTGGGGTCAGAGCCTCAACATGACTTTCGGTGTAGATAAAGCACATTTAGTCCACACAGTGCCTGCAACCCCATGGAGGGGGCTCCCTGTTCCACTGCCCGGGCTCCCACTGAGAGTCTAAGGGTTCCACTTATTCACGTGATGCAGAGATTCGAGCATATCTGGGGAAAGTAAACTCACACGTGGACCAGGAAAGGAAAACCTACATTGATGGAGAGAGCCGAAAACCTCTTCGTCATACAAGCAAAAGCTAAGAATAAGTCGAGGAGGCCTGGGTGTGAAGTCAGCCTCTGTCTCCGATTTGCTTGGTAACTCTGAACAATTTTCTTTCCTCTGATCTTAGTTTGCAAACGCAAACAGCAGCATGGCAAGTGCAGACTGGGGCCCCTCTGTAGCGCTGATGCTCTGATCACAGGATGTAATCACTTATGTGAATATCAACTTATTTCTAGTCTCTTCCAACACACCCGACGCATCTAAACAGAACCTTGTACGTGAACTGTGAGTGTTACTGAAGGCAGAAACAAAACAGGACAACGATAAATCCCCCAACCCCAACCCATCACCAAAACCACTGTGGCCAGGGTGTGCTGGCACACCCTATAATCCCAGCAGTCAGGAGACAAATTACAAATTCAAGGCCAGCCTGAGCAATACAGTAAGACCCTGTCTCAAAAACCTAATTAAGCCAGGTATGGTGGCTCATCCCTTTAATCCCAGCCCTTGGGAGACAAAGGTAGGTGGATCTCAGCAAGTTCCAGGCTAGTCAGGGCTACATAATGAGACCTCATCTAAAATTAAATACAATTTAATAATAAAATACAGAAAGTTTATTTTAAAGGAACTGCTGTGGCACAGACTCTGTTTATCCCTGACGCTGTAAAGAGCTCTCTCTATGTCCTAGGTAAAAAGTGAAGTTCCCCACCGGAGGATGAAGCTAAGACAATTATTAAGAAATAAACTGAAATCTCTAGATCTGGCGACTACCCATAGGGGGAGTGTTGCTTAGCAACTGTGTGCATATTGATAACGGGGGGGGGGGGGGGGGAGATGCCACTTATAGGTGCTGGTTAATGATAAACAAAATAAATCAATAACACGTGCTAAAGAAGCAGGTGATTCCGGGCTGCCCCAGCAAGGGGAAGAAGAAGCAGGCAGACGACAGCAGCACACGGCTTGGACATATGTTGCATTGTGTAACCGAGGAACGCGCTGAAAGAAGCATGAAGTTACAACACACTGTACATCCAGGGCTCAAGGCCAGGACCATGAAAGGGGTGGAAATCTAATAACCAAGGAGGCAATGAGAACATCCAACCTTGTGACTCAAGAGCTACATTTGCTTTGTTTTGCCTTGTTTGTTTCCGGTTTTGTGATGGGGATCAAATCCATGGACGTTCTACCATTGGGCTATATCATCGGTACCCCTCTGACCCCCATTTTGTTGGTGCTGTTGAGACAGGGTCTTGCCCTTGAACTCACTCGTGAGATCTTCTGGCCTCGGCCTCCCAAGTAGCTGGGATTATAGGCCTTCGCCCCCAGGCCGGGCCACAGAAACAGTCTCTAAGGGCTGACACATACATTAGCCCTTTTCTTCGGGATCTTAAAGATCCTTCAGCACTGAGATTGACAGGTGGGAAGGAGGAGAGAGGTGCTTGCTTGTTCGGGAAGAACCTTACATTTGCACAGTTGTCCAAATGGACAAGACCAGTCTGGGAGAAGGCATGTTTCCCAGGGCTGGGGATAGGGCCCAGCTGGTGGGGAACAATGGCTTGCTTAGCATGCACGAGGCCCCTGGTTCCATCTCCAGCACCAGTGTGGGAGTGCAGGTCTGTAATCCAGCACTCAGGAGATGCAGACGAGAAGGATC